TGCATTTCGAAATCTGTGTGTCAGTTTTATAAAACTCACTTAAGAAACAACCTGAAACTAATTAGTATTTTCTGTTACTTTAGAAAGGCAACCTCCCTCTCCTGAAAAAAAATCCATTTAATAAATATTATAAAACATTGCTTATGCTGTCTTCATTCATGTACATTTTGGACAGTTTTTTTTTTTAATAGAGTGAGTAATAGTTCAAAGCTTTAGTTAATGTCAGTTGAAATGCAGTTTTCATGGAGGTAAATGGGTTAAGATTATGTGATTTCTTTTTCTCTAGTGACATGAGAACACTCACTTATAATGCATAGATAAAGAACACAGAAATGAAGTCACCCAGTTCATACAGCTGTAACTATAACTTTGTGAGACTTGAGAGCCAGTTTAACAGAATGGAGCGGGGGGAACCTCCAATCTATTAATGTTAGGCCGGAATTAGCTAGCTGGATTTGTTCTTTTCCATCTCTCCAGGACGTCCTAGAGTAATTCAAAGCTCTTAAGGTAGGGTAACTACTCTGATTTTCTTCTCCCTTGTCGTCTATGAGGCTAATTTGTTGGCTCAGAGCACATCTGAAGGAAAGGAAAGACGCAGTTATGGAGAGCTTCTAGTGCAACAAGCACTGGCCTTCTTGCATGTGAGACTAAATCTGCATGAAATAGATATCATTCCCATTTTCCAGGTAAGAACACTTAGGCTCCAAGAAATTAAGAAACTTGCCCAAGAGCCCACAGATTGGTGTTTGGAGTAGAGCTTTCCCTGACTCCAAATCCCACACAATTTCCTCTCCTGAATGTGATAGCGTAGTCCTACCGAGTTTAATCACATTTCAATTTTAAGAAAAGAATGTTCCTACCAGGCTGGCATCACTTTCAATAGTAACCCTAGCTCAGTGATTCTTGTGGGATATGTCACCACTGGGAGGTCTGTGATTGGGAACGTCTCAGGAGAAACCCCACAGCACTGATCCAGAGGGTTGGGGACATATATGATGGTGGTTTACTCAGACTTCAACCAATCCTGCATCCAAAGTGTTTAACAGTTACTGCTATTTCTGTGGCATTTTGTAAAAGACTACATTGGCTTGCTAAACAGCACTCCCCCAAATACTAATATTAGAATCCAGTAGTAGGTGGAGACATTTTTCCGCTATGTAGACTAGTGCTAAAACTCCAGAAATGTACAGAGCTATGACAAATGCACAGAACACAATGGCTTCAGTATTTTCAACCAGAGTATGAGAGGAGGACATATGTTTTTATGTTTAGTAGCAGTATTATCCTTCAAATAAAAAAGCAAAATGATTGCTTTAGTGTCAATACAATAAGTGGTTGTTTAACATGTATTTGTACTGAGCCATCCATGTTCCCTTTAATCCCTTGATACCAACAAGAAAATATTTGCTACTTTTTCTCCAGCCCAACAATAATACCTCCTTCCATCTCTCTTTCACTTGGCTTCCTCTTATTATAATTGATCAAGGAATTAACTCTATGCACCTCTGTAAACAGATCTGAAGATACAGACATTTATAGATCCATATCTACATACATTTACACATGCACGTATGTACATTCATAGTAGTAGGCACACATATACAACATCATGGAATTCAATCTTGAGAGATTAAAATATAAATTATGATAATAAAGAATTTATGGTACGCAACCCAGTAAGGTCTAAAATGTACAATTTAAAAATTACTGCACTAAAATTTCTGCTTATAGGTAGGACTTCTGCTTCTAGGAGTAAGCAGCTTATAACTCAGGAGAAAACATAGAAAATCTAGATAAAATGTAAAAAATGAACAGTGTAAAGGGATCAGAGAACTGCTGAAACAACACGTCTAGACCGTCTAAGATGCTGAAGAGGAGAGAACTCTGGAGAGGTGAGGGAAGAATTTGCAGCTGATCTTGTTGATTCCGGGCTGTGGGAAGAATCCAGGCTTGGCCTGGGCAGAAGGCCACCGCTGGAGGTTAGAGAAACCAGCAGAGAGTTGAGGAATCTTGAGGGACTGGAGTGACAAAATATAGACCTGAGAGATCTCAAACATGACTGCCAATTATACCATGATGACATTTGTCAAATTCTGAAGCTGCAAGGTCTAGAGGCAAAAAGCTAAGCTAACACCCCTGAAAAGCACCACAGATTTTTGGCAGTCTTGTAATACTGAGAAGAAAAATGTTTTTAAAATACTGGTGTGCAAGACCTGCCAAGGGGAAGGTCCCACATGAATGCATGAGGTCTGTGTTCATCCTGTGAACCAGATCCAGCCTGCTCTTATTTTCTGTATGGTCCATGAGCTAAGAACAGTTTATAGACTTTTAAATGGTTGAGGAAACAAAATCAAAAGAACAATATTTTGTTATGTGAAAGTACACGAAACTCAAATTCTGTGTCCATAATAAAGCTTTATTGGACACACATGCCCTTTATTCATGATCGATCTAGTCTGCTTTCGCACAATGAGTAGTTGCAAAGAGACGGGATAGCCTAAAATATTCACTACCTGACCCTTTACAGAAAATGTTTGCCAACCTGCCACAGGTTGTTGGTTGAAAACCGGATGGGCAAACACCTTAAGAATAGGAGCAAACCTGGGCTGGCCCGGTGGCGCAAGCAGTTAAGTGCGTGCTCTGCTGCGGCGGCCCGGCACACCGACGCGCTGCTTGGCAAGCCATGCTGTGGCGGCGTCCCATATAAAGTGGAGGAAGATGGGCACGGATGTTAGCCCAGGGCCGGTCTTCCTCAGCAAAAAGAGGAGTATTGGCATTGGATGTTAGCTCAGGGCCGATCTCCTCACACACACACAAAAAAATGAAAAAAAAAAGAATAGGAGCAAACCAGAGACAGATTGGGTCCTACCAAAACTCAACCCAACATCATGTTGGCTCAACTCCAGTTTGGATTGAGATAGCTGGCCTCCACTCTATCTCCCTGGTGGAAGAAGGATAAATCGTTGCTGGAGAAAGATATCATCTTGAGCCTCTACCATGTTTCATGCATATTTTACACACATTCCAGCATTCAGCAAATTACTAACTTTGATCTGAGCTGAACTGCAATACATTTAAAGAGGCCTGACTTAACTAGCAAGCTCAACAGCAATCCATTAACATCCAACATTTTAAACAAGCCATTTTAATCTATGTTATTTAAAGAAAAGAAAAATAAAACAGAAGTAACAATATTACCTAAAAGCACTTTTCTTGGCAAGAAAACTTAAAATATGTGGCCAGAATAACAGCATTCTAACTAACTAGATGTTAGTTTTCACTGTAAAACATTCCAATAATATATGGAATACAATCTATGAATTATTTATTTTGTAGAAAATGAAAACAAATAGTAATTGACCAGTTATAAATCATTCTGAGCTTTAAGACTGTATTCTAGGACTCATTTTTCAATGACATGTGCTTCAGAGACACTGGCATCATATTTTAGGCATCTACTATCCTAAGAAGACAGATAAGTGCAGATGTGGGAAAAACTGATAACATTGAAATATTATAATTATACGATATGTTATGCCTACATCTCTCCCAGGATTTTAAAATTTGACTTTAATAGCTTTTTATAACAAAAAGAACAACTCAAAGGAATGAGACAGCTGAGAAGTTCAATATGACATAGAACTGCAAAATTGATATATTCATTTTAATTAGGATATACTAAGGTTTTATATCTGTGGCAAAAGTAAATTGTAACTCCCAGATATAAAAGACCAGGTCATTTTAATTTAGAACCTATCATAAATTGCAACACATATCTTATTGGTGTCAATGAAATGTAACCTAATTGTGCTCAAAAGTCCAGGTCACATAATAATTTTATGAGATTCATAAAAGTACACATGCAGTTGTACTACTATACATAAGGCATACAGATACAGCTACAAATATAAAATTCAATGTAGATAGTGATTAAAAACTCGATATTTATGCATTCAAATATGTACATATAAATTGTATATTCTAATTTTTAATTTAATTCAGTACTATAACTAGCTTGTGAACAGTTATCTTATAACATAGGAATAAACAATATTATCTAGATACTATCTGAGAAAGCCAGAATTATTGTTAAAATGAAAGGACTTTTAGAATTAGAGATTTTAAAAAGTTTACTTTTTAAAAACTTTTTAAAAAGTGTAAATACTCCTCATCATTTTCTTCACCTTTAAGAGCTTCTCAATGATAGACGCCTCTGAACAGGGCTCTAACAATTTGATTAGATAAAGCCTTGTGGTCAAATAATGTCATCAGGAGAGTATGCTATTTATCATTCTAGCTAAATTATAAGTGCTCCTTTAACATTAAACTCAATAAAAAATTACAAGTATCATCAGTAACAGACGTCAACTACATAATTTACAAATTTAAAAACAAGGTTTACATTCATCTAATCCTCAAAATTGTTTAAAAAAATTCTTCACATACATGAAAACAGTCGATTTCTAAGCAAGTTAATATTATCACATCAGGAACTAGAAAATACTAAGAATAACCTAGGACATTCAACCAATTAGTTACTTTATTTCACTGTTTGATTAAAGGAAACTAGCCATATGTATAGATCTTTATATCACTGGTTCCTTAATAACTAGCAGAATGCTACGCCTCTAAACACAAAATTCAAATATTATTTATAGTTCCAAATGCCATTTCTCTATACAGCATGTCTGATTCCAATGAAAAGATCAGAGTCCTCAGAAAGACGTATTGCAAACATAAAAGTCCTTAAGGCAGTGGAAAGTCAGGCCAGGAGTGACAGAGATGGGAGATCGGGCATAGTCTCCTCAGAGAGAAAGAGGAAAACCACATGGCCCTGCTGAAATGCTGAGTTAATTCTCTCTCTTATCTGAGCATCACATATTACATCTTTAAAATGGTTTCAACTAGAAGATTGCTTCTTTAGATGAGACCCTCTTTTAGGAAACACAAACACTCTCAAAGTGCAAGGCGGAAACACCATAAAAAACTTAATCACCTACCATTTTCTTTGCACTCTTCGGGAGGTTTAGCCTTTTTCGCAAGTCGTGGATCCAGCCATGATGTTGTCTTTGTGTTATGGCTGAAAAGAAAAGAGATCACTCTGAAAAGACACATACTAAAAGGAATCAAGTTTATTCCTTAAGAAAAAAAAGGAGAGGGGTTAGTCCAACAAAATTGCAATCGATACACTTAATTTGCTTACTGGTTCTAAGTAGCCCTGAAGGAGGTGTAAGAGTAATTGTGCAAGGCAGCTGTAAATTTGGCAACCTCAGCTCCCTGTCCTCAAAGCAGCTATTTTTATTAAAATCAACTAGAATGTTGCCAAGTTAACCTCATTGAAAATGCAGAACTCATCCAGAGCAAAAGGAATTTATTACAAATACAGGATTCTCCAGTTGGAAGAGCACAGTTTGCAGGCTCTGATACTGTTTCCTGAGTTTTGCAAAAGAATTATTTTCATTTTAAACCTGCTCTTTTCATAAATAGTTGTTTTGTTCCTCTGCAGAGCTGGCAGAGGCAGCAGAAAAGTGATGCAAATTATAGCATGTTCTTGGGATTCCTACATTTTCTCAAAAAGTGATTAATAGCAATTTCATTAAGCTACATTTAGCTGTCTCCCATCTAAATACTTTCCATCCAGCTAGAAAGGTAGGGGATAAAAATGTCTGTATTCTAATGTTTCTGGAATGGAATTTCTGGGAATTAATGATAATTTTTAATGACATTTTTGTTTTGAAAAAAATGTTTTCTGGAGAGTCTTTTGCCAGAAATTAAAAAAGTAAAAGACAGATGTTCTTAGAGTGGTGTTTCTCAAAGAGGTCCTGGAATCACCTGTATTGGAATCACCCGGTGGACTTATTAACAATGCATATTCTGGGTCCTCATAGAACTACCAAATCAGAATCTTTGAGATGGGGCCACAATGTCTCCACTGCTGGCAAACACTCCAGGTGATTCTTATGCACACTTTAATTCAAGAACCACTCAATGACTCGTAAATGCACACTGGAGCTAAAATCTTTACTGTGAATAGCTGTCTCAAGAGACCTCATCTACCAATGGACAAATTATCAAGACTGTGACATTTGTGAGGGCTTCAAAAAAAAGAATGAGTTACCGGTGTGGAAAAGTGTTAGGTTTATATATGGAAGAGTCAGAAGGTCAATGAATGGAACATGAAATGGAAAAGTGGAAAACATGTTGGAAATACAAATTAAAGACAGATATTAGGGATATTTGACCAGAATTGTAAGGAAGTTAAAATGATAATGATGATAGCAATTTCACATGCATTTTCTCTTTCTTTAATGAAATTTAACTGTATTTTATTGTGTCAGAGCCACAAGGGTTGGCTAGATAATCTGATGAATCAATCTGCATTTAGTGCAAAGGTCAGAAAATTCTCCCAGGCAGCATTTTTGATAGCAAACTTCTGGAGACTAAGTGCCTGCCTAATGGAGGAAATTTCAAGGCAGGAAGGAGGAAGGATGGAGTCAAGATGGGCAGCGGGGAAAAGATTCCAAGGTGTTAAAGCATTCTTCAAATAACATTTTCTGGATGATCATCCCATCTGCCTATGTGTAGAGCCATCCCTGAATTGAGAACTGAAACATTAAAATCCTTGGATTATGATGTTTCTGCTCCTGAAGAAGATTCCCTTTTATTTCTGACTTTCATGTGGGGGAAAGAGAAAATACTCTCCATCACTTTCTTCACATTTAGGAACTCCTCAATGATTGATCTCTTTGAGCAGGGCTCTAATAATGTGATAAGATAAAGCCTGTGAATTTGCTCAAATTAGAGATTATCAGGAGAGTATGCTAGCTTTTATTTCCCTCCAATTTGACATTTGCAAAATCTGATGGTGGTTCACTATCAAGTTTCAGAAGGATGTAAAGTACTATAGACACTTCCATCTCATTCTGGTCCTCATTTGTAGTCATGTCAATATCATCTAGTCTTTTCCTATGAACTAAAGACTTGACGTCATGGATGGAATGGGGGTTATGATTATCTCGATGTGAGGAGAGCTGTGCTGAGTTCATTGTCTCATGCTCCTATTTTGAAAAAAAGGTCATTTAAAAAATGCTCTTTATAGACATGGCTCAGCTCAAAATGTGTGTTTGTGTATTTGAGTGCTGTTGATGTCTATGTTTTTATGTGCTAGGGAGAAATGCTGGGAAGCAGGCAAGGAAAATAAATTTTCCTTCTGTTTACTCACACCTGCTTCTTCCAAATCCTTACCCCATTTTGGAGAAAAGTCATTTCTAGGTCTCTAAGACACACTCACAAAAGCAAACACATCTATGGATAAGTATTAAGGGCCAATTACTAAGCCATTGCAGGCTGTCAAATTACCATTTCTATATCACACCACCACGGGTCTCAAATACTGGCTAATTTAGTAGAGAACTGTGAATTTCCTAGCTTTCCTGAGTTTATATAAAGCATTTCATTACAGGATGATTTTTTTTTAGGTTGAACTAGCATTAACGGTATGTCACTTTAATACATTTTGACAGATTGAGTCTCTTATAGTTAATAGCATTTTTAGCTGACTCTCTGAAATGATTTTGAAAGAAATGTGGGTAGTAGTTACCTCCAGTAATTGTCTTAAACATCACATGAAGATACAGCACAGTATTTTTCAATAGTGGCTCTTGCCAGCCTTATAATTTGCATGCTTCTTCAAGATACCTTACACAGGGGATATTTTTAATGCATTTGGGAGACAACAGACCAAGTAGCTTTTCCACTTCCCTTAAATTATATATTTTTAAATCTCAACAATTCCATTTGAAAATAGGATTAAAGATTGGGCAGGAAACTGTGTACAAAATGGGAGCATTGAGGGATTTTTCGCAATCTGCACCCTATGTTTTCTCAAGAGTGAGGATGTGATTTCCTTTCACTTTCATTGCTAGAGTAGATTCAGATGCAGGTCGTCAGTTTTCTGCATTGATTCAAGTTTGTGGAGCCCAAATGACAGGAAGGTAAGATGCTAATGTTATATAATCTTATATTTCAATACTAGTTTCTTCAAAAGAGACACAAACACATATATAGGCTGCATTTGCAAAGAAACTTTTTCTAGTTGCGTAATGGAACAAATATTTTCTAGGAACTTTGAATCATAGTAATTCACTACTCTATATTTCTATGGATGAGTTAATGGGATGATCATGAAAAGTGAGAGATCAGGTGAAGTCAGTAGCTATTCAAGTTCAATCAATGTCATGTTAAAAAATCCAGATGAAAGCCTTAAAAAATGGTTTATCCAAAACTCTTCTCTGATGTTAAACTGTATACTGAGTCGATCTGGAGAACTGGAACAAACCAAAAGTGAAATTTCATTCAACTCTACAATTCTAGCTTAAATTCATATCAGAATGGTCTTGAAGACATGTGATAGGCTGACTTGTAATGAATCAGAAATTTCTGCATATTTTGTAAGTTTAACCTTTGTCAAACTGACAAAAGCAGCAGGTTAAACAACATCTTATCTTCTGAGGAGACTTTCTTCTCACAGAGAAAATGCTTCACTTCAACAGGAAAAGCTGCTGATATTATGGCATACCATTGCAGAGTTATTCTCACTGTCTCGTAACATTCCCTGATGGTCCACTTGGTCAGGGACTGCACTAGAATCTTCACACGCAGCACCTCATTTAATGCTCATGAGCGTTTGTGCCTAGTGTTTTTAACTCATTTTATAGATCGAGAAACAAAGGTTGAGAGAAGCTGGCTATCTTGCCCAAGGTTACACAGCTAGTGTGTGAAAGGAAAGGAGCTAGAATTAAACCCAGATAGATCTGATTCCCAAGTCTAACGTTTTTTATAATCTGAAACCAGAGGCATACTAAACCTAACACTTTGCTTGTTATACGGAGGTGCTTTATCTCACTCCCTCAGAGGGTAACCAAGGATCTTTCTCCCAGCTACTTTGATAGTTTAGAAACCGAGACCCTTATTTCCTGTTTGAGGATAGTAATCACTACTTAAATTCCTTTGTGTTGAACGCCTTGTACTTAGTAGGCGCTACATTAAATTGCGTGTGCACAGAGAAGAGAGAACATGGTGACTGAGGAGGCACAGATAATACAACTGGAAACATCTCCTTATAAACTTGAATTCTCTATTCAAACCACTTTCAAATCAAATTTTCTTCATTCCAATCTGAATATTCTTCCAGAATAAAGTCTTATAAATTCTGACTTATAGGATCTACATATAAATGTTAGGTCTTAGAAGCTATACTAAAGAATAACATTAATAAAAATGCTATCAAATGGATGGAGTATTTATTAGGAGCAAAATTTAAAATTTTCATATAGATCATGCCATTCTCTACCCTCCATTCTATTTTTTCCTTTGCTCTATGTTTTCCCAGTCAGGGTACAAAACCCTTACCAGTTTCTTAGGTATACAGTCAGGCACCACATAATGACGTTTTGGTCAACAACAAGGAACCACATATATGACAGTGGCCCCATAAGATTAGTGCCATATAGCCTAGGTGTGTAGTAGGCAATAACATCTAGGTTTGTGTAAGCACTGTAGGGAAGTGAGAAATTTTCCTCTACCCTTCTAGATTCTTCTGGCTGGTTTAAGAATTAAATTGACATGAGATAGATTAACGGGAAAAAAACAAAAGTTTAATGACATATATACATGGCAGAAACCCAGGAAAACTGAGTAACTCACCAAAATGGCCCAAGACCTCACCTTAAATACCATCCTTAGCTAAAGACAAAAGAAGATATTGGGGGTGGGGAGAGTCAGGGATTTCAAAGGGAAGGAAAGCAATTCACAGGTGAAAAGGAGCAAACATTTGGCAAACAAGTGTTTGGCCACACAGAAACAGAAGAACACAGAAAGGAACCCAACAAACAGGCTTTTCTAGGTTCCTCCCTGTCTACCACCTAGTTCATGTTATGCTAGGTGATAGCCCACTATCTGAGACAGGTTTTTAAAAATGTGAATTCTGGGGCCGGCCTGGTGGCATAGTGGTTGGGTTCACACGCTCTACTTCAGCGGCCAGGGATTCTCGGGTTCAGATCCCGAGCGTGGACCTAAGCA